ACAGGTGATGCCATGATTCTAAGCGTCAACAGTCCGATTGAATCATGGATCTTGGATTCAGGGGCATCTTTCCACTCCACCCCATGCCAAGAAATCATGGAGAACTATGTTAGTGGTGATTTTGGGAAGGTTCATCTTGCTGATGATGAAACCTTGAAGATCGTCGGAAAAGGAGATATCCGACTAAAGCTGCCAAACCATACCACCTGGAAGCTGACAGGAGTGAGACATATTCCTGGCCTCAAAAGAAATCTGATTTCTGTTGGACAGCTTGATGGAGAAGGATATAGTACAACCTTTTCAGGCTGTGAATGGAAGATTACCAAAGGAGCACTCGTCATTGCTCGTGGTAAGAAGACTGGTACTCTCTATGTAACCTCAAATTTAGAGAATATCATTGCAGTAGCATATGCTGATGGAAAATCAAACCTATGGCACCAAAGGCTTGGCCATATGAGCGAGAAAGGGATGAATACACTTTTGTCAAAAGGGAAGCTGCCGGATCTAAAGAATATAGATGTCGGACTATGCGAGGATTGCATCTTTGGCAAACAAAAGAAAGTCAGTTTTACAAAGATTGGCAAGACACCTAAGGTAGAAAGGTTAGAATTGATTCATAATGATGTATGGGGACCATCCCCAGTTCCATCTCTTGCAGGCTCACTATATTATGTCACATTCATCGATGATTCAACAAGGAAGGTGTGGGTTTATTTTCTGAAGAAGAAATCAGAAGTCTTTGATACCTTCAGAAAATGGAAGGCCATGGTGGAAAATGAGACTGGTTTGAAACTCAAGCGGTTGAGGTCTGACAATGGAGGAGAGTACAGAAACAGTAGATTCAGAGATTTCTGCGCAAACAATGGGATCAAGATGGAGACAACAGTTCCCATAACACCGCAACAGAATGGCGTAGCAGAGCGCATGAACAAAACTCTGAATGAACGTGCCAGAAGCATGAGGATACATGCCGGATTGCCCAAATTTCTATGGGCTGAAGCTATCAACACTGCAGCTTACCTGATCAACCGTGGGCCCTCAGTTCCTTTGGATGGCGGAATACCAGAGGAAGCTTGGAGCAAGAAAGAAATAAACCTTTCACACTTAAGAGTGTTTGGTTGTATTTCTTATGTACACATAAACTCTGCTGAAAGAAGTAAACTTGATGCCAAGTCCAACAAATGCGTCTTTGTTGGTTACGGTAGTGATGAGTTCGGTTACCGGTTTTGGGACTACGAAAATCGAAAGATCATCAGAAGCAGAGACGTCATTTTCAATGAAAATGTGATGTACAAAGACAGGTCAACCGCATAATCAAGTAATACCGAAGCTGAAACAAAGGAATTTACTAAGTTCGAGGAGATTTCTGGAAATGATGTTCAGATCAGTCCTGAAGCAGTTCAAGAGGAAGAACCAGACACACCAGAACTGAGACGCTCCTCCAGAATTCCTAAACCAACCCAACGGTATTCGCCTTCTTTGCACTACTTGTTGCTGACTGACAATGGTGAACCAGAGTGCTATGATGAAGCGATACAGGTGGATGATTCAATCAAGTGGGAGTCTTCCATGAAAGATGAGATGGACTCGCTTATGTCAAATCAGACGTGGGAATTAGCTGAATTAACACCAGGCAAGAAAGCACTCCATAACAAGTGGATTTACAGGATCAAAGAAGAGCACGATGGGAGAAAACGCTACAAAGCAAGATTGGTTGTCAAAGGTTTTCAGCAAAAAGAAGGTATTGACTACAATGAAATTTTCTCTCCAGTCGTAAAACTGTCTACAATCAGACTGGTGTTGAAAATTGTAGCTGCAGAGAATTTACATCTTGAGCAGTTAGATGTAAATACAGCTTTCCTTCATGGTGATTTGGAGGAAGAAATCTATATGAGGCAACCAGAAGGCTTCATAGAAGCAGGCAGGAAAAACCTGGTATGCAGGTTAAAGAAAAGCTTGTATGGTTTAAAACAAGCTCCTAGACAGTGGTACAAGAAGTTCGATAGCTTCATGAGTAGCAGTGGTTTTACCAGATGCCAAGCAGATCATTGTTGTTACATCAAGAGGTTCAACAACAGCTTCATTATTTTATTATTGTACGTTGATGACATGCTCATTGCAGGCTCAGACATGCAAGAGATTATACACTTGAAGCAAAAATTGTCGAAGCAGTTTGCTATGAAGGATCTGGGCGTTGCAAAGCAGATTCTTGGGATGAGGATCAAGAGAGACACAAAGTCGGGGACTTTGATGTTATCACAGGCTGAGTACATCAACAAAGTACTCTCCAGGTTCAACATGCAAGATGCTAAACCAGTAAGTACACCTTTAGGTGTTCATTTCAGACTCTCCAAAGAACAGTCACCAAAGACGGAGGAAGAACGTGCACACATGGTGAAGGTGCCGTATGCCTCAGCAAGTGGAAGTCTGATGTATGCCATGGTTTGTACTAGACCATATATTGCTCAAGCAGTGGGAGCTGTTAGCAGGTACATGAATAATCCAGGCAAAGTACACTGGGAAGCAGTCAAATGGATCCTCAGATATCTGCGAGGTACCACAAACAAAGCACTTTGTTTCAAAGGTGGAGATACGATACTGACAGGCTATGTAGATGCTGACTTAGCCGGAAATGTCGACATCAGAAGAAGCACTACAGTGTATGTCTATACTTTAGGAGGAACTGCAGTGAGTTGGGTTTCTCAACTACAGAAGATAGTTGCTCTTTCCACAACTGAAGCGGAATATGTCGCTATTACGGAAGCCAGCAATGAGATGGTTTGACTCCAAAGTTTCTTGGAAGAGTTAGGCAAGAAACAAGAAAACAATGTCTTGTACTGCGACAGTCAAAGTGTTATTCATCTAGCAAAGAATCCGTCTTTTCATTCCAGAACGAAGCACATACAATTGAGATATCATTTTATCCGGTCTTTTCTGGAAGATGGGATTTTGAAACTTGAAAAGATTAGTGGAGCTCAAAATCCGACAGACATGTTGACAAAGACGGTGACCATGGACAAACTGAAGTTGTGCTCAACTTCAGTTGGCATGCTAGAGTAATAAGACCAGAAATGCTGCTGCATTGATCGAGGTGTGAAGACAGATTAAAATCAGTCTTCAAGTGGGAGATTGTTGAAATTCAAAGCCACCGGCTGCTTTGAATAAATGGTGGCTTAGAATTAAAAACATGGGCTGCTAAATATTTTATTATTTTGTAATAGATATAATTACAAAATTGAGTCATTGAACTTTAGGGTATTTTCAAAGATTAGTCCCTAAGTTTCAACTATAAATACCCTAGCTCATTTAGCTTTAATATCATCCCAAAAATCATTTTTTTCTCTCAATACTAGAGAGATTTCTTGTGAGTAGTGAGTGTTTTGTAAACACCTGTAAATTTTCTCTCTTAGTAAAAGATCTGCAGCAATCCGGAGATGTAAGCACAATTGGCTGAACTCCGTTATCAATTTTCGAGTATTATTTTTCCGCTTTTATTTCGCATTCTCACTAATCTGGTTATAGGGAAATTACTTGTACTCGGTTTATTTCCCAACACTATTGTTTAGGGAGCTATGGTTATTAACACTTGATACCAGAAGAAAAAAGGCAAAAGTCTCAGTTGAAATTGGAAAAACCGAAATATGTTACAGAAGGCATGTTTATTAATTGCAGGTTACCATCTTTCAGACCTTTTTCTAATATTCTTATAGTGAATGTTGTGTCGTCAAGATGTTACATTGTATTTCAATCGAACAATCCTATTTCGGCTTTACTCTTTTATGACGTGTTGTGTTACATTGTATTTCCATCGTACAATCCTATTTTGGCTTGCTATTGTGGAACTCAGAGAATGATGTTGATGAATGTTGCAAAGTTTGTATGTCATTGTAGCTATGAATAACAAAACTTAGCATTTATGTTGAAATGATGATTGATCTAATACATTACAATAGACATATGTAGTGTTCATTATGACTTATGAGCTTTCGGTAACCCTCTTGGTTTCAGACTGTCGCTAGAAGTATGTTTCATGCAATAGATTGTTTTTGTAGGTTAGCTTTATATATAATCTGATATTGTGAAATAGCATGTGAATGCATATTTTGTTCCACTACAAATTTCCAATAAGAAACCGTCTGGGTAGAACATTGTCAAGCACAAAATAGTAACAGGAAGTGGTGACGGTTTTTGCATGATAGAACCAAGCTCGTCTCCAATAGGGATTCATGTACAACACAACAGGAACAACCAACAACATCACTGTGTAAGACACGATGAAAGTCACACGAAACACCCATATGTCGATTAAACTATAGGCTTCGTCATTGTCAATGAATTTATCTTTGGTGGTGATGATCCAATATCTTGTTATGGTTTTAGGTGAGTAGAAGAGAAATCGAGAAATAGGGAATAAGAATAGAGAAGAATTGAGAGTTTTCAGAGAAGAAATGGTTGTTCATTCATAACATGAGGAAAATACATCATCACAGTTTGTTTTATTTAGTTACAATACCAGAATCCTAAGGATGCCAGATGGCAATCCTTTGTAACAGAATCTAATAAATTCTTTCTTTCTCATTTATTTTGCAGATATGGGCTATTGGGCTGCTCTTGCTGCTTCAGATCCGTTCCACTTCTGATCCGCTCCAAAGGTAAATTGTCTTCATTTCCCTCTCGTTCCATAATTCCCAATCTATCATTCTCAATCCCTAACCCTCGTCTCATTTCCCCCAATTCTCCTTCATCCTCTTCGCGTTCACGCCCTTCTCCTCCCACCATGACAATACCCACCCCTCGAGAGGATCCTTGTCCCCAAGTATCAAAAGACGGAAATTGGCCTTGGAGCACTGAATAATCTTCCCAGGTGTCATGCGAGGCGTCCAGATTAGTCCATCGAACGAGTAACTGAGTAACTGGCCTGTTATTTCGATTTATAATTCTCCTTCCCAAAATTTGACTGGTTTCTATGCGAAACTGACCTTCTTCATCGACCACAGGAGGCTCTGTCGAAGATGTTGCGACTGGCCCAATATGCCTCTTCAACATACTGACGTGAAAGACTGGATGCAATCGAGAATTTTCAGGTAATTCTAACTTATACGCGACCTCTCCGATTCGTTCTGTAATTTTGTACGGCCCATAAAACTTGGCTGCTAACTTCAAATTCTTTCGTAGTGCAAGGGATGTTTGACGATAAGGTTGCAACTTCAGGTAAACCTTATCCCCTACTGCAAAACTTCTTTCTGAACGCTTTTTATCTGCCTGTTGCTTCATTCGGTTTGCAGCCTGTTCTAATTGTTGCTTCACCATTTGTCTGGTTTCTTCCCTGCTTTTCATTAGTTCACCCACAGAATAAACTGTAGCATCTGGTTGCCAAACCATTGTAGGAGGCTTATAACCATATAGAGCCTGAAAAGGTGTTAGGTTTAAGGCTGTGTGATAGGTAGTATTATACCACCACTCAGCATGAGCCAACCACTTAGCCCACTGTTTAGGTTGTAAAAAACAGAGGCCTCTTAAATACTGCTCAAGACATTGATTAACCCTTTCTGTCTGACCATATATTTCAGGATGGTAAGCAGTACTGAATAAAGTTGTAGTACCCAACTGCTTCATTAGCTCTCTCCAAAAGAGACTAGTGAATGTTTTATCTCTATCCGAAATAGCCATTTTAGGTTGACCATGGAGCTTGTAGACATTGTCTAGATATAGCTTAGCAACCTCAACTGCAGTGTAGGGATGAGACAATGCCATAAAATGGCTATATTTGGTAAACTTGTCTACTATCACCAATATACAATTTTTCCTTAAGGAAGTAGGTAAGCCTTCAATAAAATCCATAGTAATCACCTCCCAAGCCTATTGAGGAATAGGAAGGGGCTGTAGTAGTCCTGGTTTAGGTATATGCTCCACCTTAATTTGCTGACAAACTGTACAAGATTTAATATAAGTGACTACCATAGCCTTAAGCCTAGGCCAATAAAAATAGGATTTAATCCTTTGATAAGTAGCTTGAGTCCCAGAATGACCTCCATGAGGGGAATCATGTAAAATTTGAAGAATTTGTAGTCTAAGAAACCCAGTAGAACCAATGTAAACTCTGCCTTTAAATCTGAGTATTCCTTTTGAAAATTTCCAATTAGGATCAGCAGTAGGTGTCACAGTCAAAATATTGATCCAGTCAGCAGCTAATTTATCATCCTTATAGCTGTTTTCGACATCATGTACCCAGCTAGGAATAAGCAAAGTAGTTCCAATAGCTAGACATTTACCAGCATCTTCCCATTGCCTTGACAAAGCATCTGCTACAGTATTTGACTTACCTTTTCTGTACTGTATAGAATAGTCCAGCCTCAGTAATTTAGTTAACCCTTTCTTTTAGATTGTGGTTGTCAGTTTCTGCTCCAGTAGATACTTGAGAGGCTCATGATTAGTTTTAATAATAAAAGGCTTGCTCTCTAAGTAATGCCTCCACTTAGAAACTGGTAATAAAATAGCAAGATACTCCATTTCATTGATAGAGAGGGCAGTGTGTCTAGGACTTAGAGCCTTACTTAGATAAGCAATAGGTCTTCCCTCTTGAGATAGCACATCACCAATTCCTCCTGAACTCGCATCTGTTTCCAAACAGAAACTTTTACTGAAATCAGGTAAAGCTAAAACAGGAGCAACACACATAGCCTGTTTTAAATTCTCAAAAGCAGTCAAAGCTGTAGTAGTCCACTGAAAATTGTCCTTAGTAAGCAATTGAGTCAAAGGCTTACTTATGGACCCATAATTTTCAATAAACCTCCTGTAGTAACCCGTTAACCCCAAAAATCCACGCAGGGATTTTAAAGATTTAGGAAGAGGCCAATTCCTCATAGCTTCTACTTTTGTAGGATCTGTAGCTACTCCAACTGCTGAAATAATATGCCCCAAATATTCCACCTGAGTCTGTCCAAAGAAACATTTGGACAGCTTTGCAAATAACTGATTAACTTGCAAAACCTCCAAAACTAGTTGTAAATGAGTAATATGTTCTGTCATAGAATTGCTGTAAACTAAAATATCATCAAAGAACACCAAAACAAACTTTCTAAGAAATGATTTAAACAAATCATTCATTAATGCTTGAAATGTGGCAGGAGCATTAGTTAGACCAAAAGGCATTACCTTGAATTCATAATGCCATTGATGAGTTCTAAATGTTGTTTTGTAGATATCATCTTCTTTAATTCTGATTTGCCAATAGCCTGACCTTAAGTCAATCTTGGAAAAATAAACTGCACCATGTAGCTCATCCAATAGATCCTCCACAACCGGAATAGGGAACTTATCCTTCACTGTCAGATTATTTAATTGTCTATAATCAACACAAAACCGCCAAGTGCCATCCTTCTTCTTAATTAAAAGACATGGAGAAGCAAAGGGACTCTTGCTAGGTTGGATAATAGAAGAAGATAACATAGCAGCAATTTGTTGTTCCACTTTAGTTTTCTGGTTATGAGGAAATCTGTATGGTCTCAAATTAATGGGACTAGATCCATGTTTGAGAGGAATAGCATGATCATGAGCTCTTCTAGGTGGTAACCCCTTAGGTTCATCAAAAATAGAGTTGTACTTCTTTAAAAGAGGTTTATGAACTTGAGGAATGGTTTTAGGAGTCTCAGTCATACTCAGTAAAACCACATGTCCCAAAATAGGTGTATCTGAAGCTGTCATTTTCAGTAAGGTAGCACCTGAAATCTGCTGCAAAAGCAGTGAAGGTTGCTGCCCTTGTATAACAATATTCTCCCCTTGATGTTTAAAGCTCATTGTCATCTGATTAAAGTCCATCAAAATTGGACTAAATAATTTCATCCAATCCACCCCTAACACCATATCATTTCCTCCCAATTTAAGAAGTCTGAAATCATGTATGAAAGAGTGTCTTTGCATTTGCCATTCTACTTTGTTGCATCTAGCTGAACTAAATAGATGTTGACCATTAGCTACTGTAATAGCCAAAGGGTATGGAGTTAGGACTTGAATGCCAGCATCAGCCCATTGAGGTGTCAAAAAACTGTGTGTACTGCCACTGTAAATCAGTATGTTCAAGGGTTTGCCTTGAATTGTTCCTTGAATCCTCAATGTGTTATGACTAATGCACCCAGTGATTGCATTCATAGAAATTTCTAAGCTTTCCTCTTCTTGCATGATCTGTTGGTCTGAGTCAGGAGGAACAGATTCTGTAGGTATAGGACTTTCCTCTTCAATCATCATATTAAAGTTTCTTGTTTTACATTGATGCCCTGGCTGAAATTTCTCTCCACACTTAAAACAAAGATTATTCTGCCTTCTGTAATCAATAAGATTCTGTTTAGGATTGGAAATTGATGTGGATTTAGTAGGTAGGGGTACTGAAGTTGTCTTGGAAGTAATAATGGGGTTTGGGTAGGGTGGGACCTTAAAGGAAGGTCTCAACTTTCTGTTTTCAAACTCCACAGATAACTCATAGAGCTTAGCTTGTTTGCATGCTTCAGATAAATTTTTAGGATCTAAAGTTTTTACTCTATGTTTGATGTCTTCTCTCAATCCACTTATGAAAAGTGACACAAAGAAATCCTCCCCCAAAGTAGGATTCTGTAATAGCATGTGTGGTTGTAACTCCTCGAACCTTTCTTAATAATCTTCAACAGATCCTTTTTGAGTAAGTTTAGTGAATTCTTCCACAATGTCACAAAAAGACCTGTCACTAAATCTATGGCACAAATCAGCTTCAAACTCATGCCAAGTTACATGATGTTTCTGCATAATATAGCCATCAAACCATATTTCTGCTTTTCCTGTAAGATACATAGTAGCCACTTCTACCCTTTGATCTACAGGAACATTGCATAAGGAAAAATACTTGAGACACTTCTGAAGCCATCCCCTAGGATTTACCCCCTCAAAAAATGGCAACTCTATTTTGGGTCTATGCCACATAGTTCCCGAGCTGCTAAATGACCCCCCTGTTCCCCTGTTTTCAGTTTCCAGTCCCAGCATAACAGGTCTAATATTACTATTTTCACCCATTAAATTCTCATGCCTAGAACTGTTCTTAATGGCTAAACAAGCATCAGGCTTATCCTTCAAGATCCCCGGTTCATCAGTTTTATACGAAAATCTTGATTTATCCTTAACTACCGTCACCAAAACAAGATTTTTCTCCCCATTTTTAGAGTTATTAGGAGAGTATACCTGATCCCCTGCAGGCTGCTCTTGTTCACCATTTCTGCCAGTTAAGATCTTCAATATATCTTCCACATAGCTGTGATTCGTGGTCATTCTTGCCTCCAATGCAGTAATCCTATTTTCCTGAGTCTCCCACCATTTAGGTGGATTAGTCTCATTTTGACATTGTTTCACCAAAGCAGCAAGGTCTTCAATCTGTTTCTAAATCCCGGCCAAATCAGCTTCTGCCATCGATTGGTTCTTCTTTGGCATGCCCTCAAAAATCTTGCCAGAATCGTAGCTCTCGATACCAATTTGTTATGGTTTTAGGTGAGTAGAAGAGAAATCGAGAAATAGGGAATAAGAATAGAGAAGAATTGAGAGTTTTCAGAGAAGAAATGGTTGTTCATTCATAACATGAGGAAAATCCATCATCACAGTTTGTTTTATTTAGTTACAATACCAGAATCCTAAGGATGCCAGCTGGCAATCCTTTGTAACAGAATCTAACAAATTCTTTCTTTCTCATTTATTTTGCAGATATGGGCTATTGGGCTGCTCTTGCTGCTTCAGATCCGTTCCACTTCTGATCCGCTCCAAAGGTAAATTGTCTTCATTTCCCTCTCGTGCCATAATTCCCAATCTATCATTCTCAATCCCTAACCCTCGTCTCATTTCCCCCAATTCTCCTTCATCCTCTTCGCGTTCACGCCATTCTCCTCCCACCATGACATATCTCCACACTTTGGCAATGGTTCACCACAAAGAAAAGGATTTCCCAAGTAGCTGAATTCATTGAATGTTCCAAATTGAAAAACCCTTAATGGTGTCCTTCAGAGAAGTTATTGAACGACACATTGAAAACAACCATGAAACTTAACCCCACAAGTTGAGAAGGGATACTCCCACTCAATTTGTTGTAGGAAAGATCTACACTTTCGATTTTCCTGAGCTTATCAAATGTTGGTGGTATTGGTCCTGTCAAACTATTGTGAGATAGATTCAACCCAAGTATCTTGTGCAAGTTTCCAATTTGAGGAGGAATCTCACCGACCAGTTTGTTGCAAGAGAGATCGATTCCAGACACCAGTGATATGATTCTTCCCTTGTAAGAGTTGTACCCATTTTTCATTGAAAAATCTATCGGTACACTCAACAAGAATTCGCTAGGACCAGTCATAGTGACATTTACAAAGTCTAAATCCCCAAGGGTTGTAATTTTCAGGCAAGGGGGAATCTGACCAGAAAGATTGTTATGAGAAAGATCAATACACTCAAGTGATTCAACTTGCATAACTCCATTGGGATCTCGCCTTGGAAGATGTTGATGCTTAACAGAAGATAACTCAAGTTCGAAAGTCCACCAATCCAACTTGGAATGTTGCCACTTAAGTTCTCTCTGATATCCAATGTCACCAAGATAGAGTTGTTACGAAGTGCGTCTGGTAAAGTTTCTCGCAACCTATTTTTAGCCAAATGGACCTGTATGATTTGAGAAGGGTTGAAACAAGATGGTATACTCCCTAAGATATTATTAACCGAGAAGTCAACAAGTACAAGAAAATCAAGTTGACAAAACTCAATAGGGATTGATCCTTCAAGATGATTATTCGACAGAATAATTCTCTGTAAAGAAGACATATTTCCCATCCACCTTGGGATCCCTCCAGAAAGTGTGTTGTTGCTAACATCTAGTGCTAACAAAGGACTCTTGGACAATAAATCAGGGATCCTTTCAGAGAAGTTATTTCCATCTAATTTTAAGTCTCTCAAATTTAGTAATTTGAAATTTTCGGAGAAAATTTTACCCTCAAGTTTGTTTTTGGATAACTCCAAAACTCTCAATGAAGTCATACAGTTGAAAGATGAGGGAATGGTACCCATAAAGTGATTATTTGACATGCTTAGAAACTTTAATGATGGGTGTTGCTCTCCCGAGGAAATTGTTGGAGATGTCTAAAAATGACAAATGTATATGTGAAGCTAATGGTAGCTGAAGTGATCCCGATAGAGAGCTATTGGTGAGATATAGAGACTCTAATTTTGTGTTGTTTTCCAGCAACCATTTTGGGAATTGATTTCCTTTGAAGAAGATATTAGAGAGATCAAGATACAGCAAGTCCTGTTTATGGTAGAGAAATTCAGGATATGATACGTCTCCACAACACGATAAATCAATGTGTTTCAGTTGGAATCTTGGGGGCGAAGAAGGTATATGGGTTTCAACATATATGATATTGTTGCCTGCATATATGATCTCGAGTTTTGAAAGGTTGAACAAGGGTCCCAATAAGACAGGGATTTCAAAGTGATTATCTGATAGACTCAACTCTCGGAGAGTTAGACTTTTGATAGTATCAATATTTCCGGAAAATTGATTGGAAGAGAGGTCTAATCTTTCAAGAGATGTTAGAGTCTCAATGACATGTATATTTCCAAAGAATTGATTGTAAGAAAGATCCAAGTTATGTAGGGATGTGAGGTTAGAGAAGCACTCGAATTAACTAAATAAATAAAATTTAAACAAATAATTTAAAAAAAGAGTAGAGAAACAATAGTTAAAAAATAAAATGTATCATTTGTTTAAAATGTAGTAAACCATTAATAAACTAATTATATATTATTTTTTATTATAATTTAAGTAAAATAAAACGAATAAGTAGATGAATTTTAGAACTAGATTACCATGAAAGACTAAGAAGAACTTTGAGAAAATAAGCCTCAGAATTAACATTGTTTATTAACAAACCAACAATGTGTTTATATACATTATTCAATAGTTATATTCTACAAGTACTGCTCCTTTTGCATATTACATATATTTTTTTCAAAGATACAAATTATTTTAACTTTTATATAAAAGTTCAAATACTAATGTTCTTTGTCCACTTTTAAATCTTTTTCAAATTTTAAAATAATTTATCATGATTTTATTCTTTATTTTTAACATTAACAACCATGAAACAAGTTCATCAATAAAAAATAAAAATGAAAATTAAATATATACACAATTCTACATCTTAATATTAAATTCTGTAAAAAATATAATTAATAAACTTTGTCGAATGATCAGATTGTAATTTGATATAAGATTTAAATTTAGAGATGGAACAAATAAAATTAATGTTTAAAGTATAGAAAAAATTTGGTTTTATATTTCTTCGGAATATATAATTCAATTAACAGCTGATTTCTACTTTTAGATCCTCTAGCCACACTTCAGTCTTTATCATGTGTTTTAGGTGTTGAATTGTTTGATTTCCCGGTAATGCCTATTATGCATAATAATAATTGATTCTTTTATACTGTAATATTAGCTAGAATTGGAATATGAATTTACGTACAACATATATAATAATATTATTATTTTAAAAGATTGATTCAGATTAAAAGTAGTGTAGTACGGATATGATTAATTTAGTTCCAATTATCGAATAAAGTATGAGTTGAATATGGGATAACTTACGTTTTAGATCACTTCAACTTCAACTTTCATATGGCTTTTAAAATTTTAATTTCATCAAATTATATTATTTTTATTATTAATAATAAATTAAGCCTAGTCTTAAACAATGGCCGCTAATTGTTAGAATTTTATAAAATTATAGAAATCATTGTAGCTTTGGTCAAACACTATGATTGTCCACGAGTGTTGACATAGGTGGTTGAGATTCATGAATTTGAGTTTGTAAGTCTAAGTTTGAATCTTATCACCGTCACTCTTGGTGAGTAGTCTATAAATTTCTATATAAATTAAAATTAGATCTTGGGTATACTTTAACCTTAGACTGAGAGAACTACTCCTGACCTAAACTTTTTGTGACAAAAAACCACTATGATTAATAACAATGACCTCTTCTTTTTCGATGGAGATCATTACTATTTGTATTAATTTTGTTTTAACTATACCTGAGAGTGAAGACCTTCATGATAGCAAAATATTGACAGGTCCTCCAAGTGGGTCAGCATTTAGTTCTGAGTAGAATCACAAATATTTTTTTTAAAAATTAATTTAAATAAAACGTTATTTTCTTGATTTTAATTGAAGATAAACTAATCAAGAGGGAGCGGGCAATTGTACCTGTAAGATCTATTGATCCCTTGAAATTGCGGATTCCAAGATATAAAATCGTGAGATTTGAAAGCCTGCCAAGAGATGCCAATACGCTACTGTTGAACCGGTTGCCTTCCAAATAAAGTGATCTGAGGTTCATCAACCTTAGCTGAGCGTCATTATCTGTACAATAATACATTTCTTACCACTAACCATTGATAGGTTATAGCATTCTTTTGGCTTTTTTTTTGTTTACTGACTAATTAAATAATTAATCGTGTTTAGAATTAATTTGGTGGTAAACACACCATTTATGTGGTGAAAAGTGTCATTTAGATGATCATTACAGCTTCACCCACTTTTTATCTGATTTGGTTAGCTACTGTAACAAAATAAAAATATAAGCTTATTTATTGCATCCTTGTTAGGTGTGATTAACAAGTTGAGCAGTTCGTGAGTAGTTTAAACTCAATTCGGTCAAAACTCGATAAAAACCTCAGCTTGGGTTGGCTCGACTCGAACTCAACTCAAGACCTTAACGAGTTAAGTCGAGCAAAGTCTAACTCGACTCAATAAGTACGCAAACAACTTGTTAATTTTTTTTTATAACTTTTTAGTAGTTATCTTAAAAAAATACTCATTCAAAAAATTATTAATTTACAAACAGATAATAAAAAGATGATAAATTACTAGTATATTAATTTTATAATAAATAATAAAAATATAATTATTACACCCTAAAATTAAACTCTAATTATTATTTTATTATATTTTTGTGGATTACTATTTTGGAGTTTAGACTTCAATTTGTTTTATACAATCTTTTGATAATTTTTTGATTAAATTTATTAATTTATGTTAATATTAAGCTCAATATAATATCAGCAGGTTTTACCTATAGTTAAAAATAAGATAAAAATTTTGTTGAGATTAACGAACAACGAGCCTAACGAGCACAAATCAAACAATAAATTTTTAATAAGCCTAACGAGCAACGAGTCGAGTAACAAATTTTTTTAACGAGCACGAGTCGAGCATTGCCCGACTCGCAATCGACTCGCTCAATAACCACCTCTAATCCTTGTATGGTTTGCGATACCATAACCATTTTTTATAAGAGTAACATGGCTGAACAAAATTTGACTCGATTGATTTGAAAATTTCGAGTCACTTAAAAAATTAAAAATTTAGGTAAATATTTTGACAATTTTATAATTTATTTCTTGACTTCTTTATTCTTTCAATTCTTCTTTCATTTTAAGTTTATTTTTAGCAAATTTGAACCACATGCTCCTGAACTATCTTAGAATACATATGTACATTCCACTTCTCTTTTTGATATCAAGTATTATATATTTTTTAATTTAGCTCTTCAACTTTACATGGTTCCTAATTTCTTCAATTCTTCCTTCATTCTAAGTTCATTTTTTTCACCAAATTTAAATCACATGCTCCCATACCATTATAGAATACCTAGGTAACTTCAATTCTTATTTCTTACTAAAAATGTACTATTTTTTCCAACTTTGTCCATTAACTTTATATTTGATTGAATTTTGTCTTTTGACTGTAGTTTTTTTCCAAATTATTTATTTTCATCAATTCCTTGTTTCGTTTATACTCTCATCAAAACTTTACCCTCAAAATACCTTTAAAATATAATATTGTCAAAATATATATATATATATATATATATATATTGAAATAAGTTTTGTACCTTTTTTATTGAGATAAACATATACAAAACCCTCAAATGCAACCATTGGTCTCGTTAAAAAAATCTCCCTACGCCTAAATGGAGGAGAAAGAGTACACCATGGCTATAATATTGTAAATATATTTTTATAATTTTAAATTTATTTAATTTATTAAAGAGCACACCATGGCCACAGTAAGTGCAAGAGGCATTTCGATGGCTTAAAGGTAGGATGAAGATAGGATCAAGGTAGTGATGTTTAGCGAGAAGCCCAAGAGTCTAAGGATAGTGCTAGCTATTAGGGCACAAAATGATTTCTCTAGCGAAGGTTTTGTGGAGCAACCTTGGGGTTGAGGAAGTAGCTGGTTAGCGTGGAAGAGTATTAAGTTAGAGTAGAGCAGCAGAAGCATAGAGGTCGGCTTTAGTAGAAGTTTTGGCAAGTGCCATAAGGTTTCAGAGTTTTCTATGCCCATTGGATAGAGGAGGTTACCAGGTTGTACTATAAGTTAGCCCAAGTAAATAATGTTAGTAAAGAAAAGTTTTGGTGTTAGTAATGAGTTCGAGAGAGAGTTTCAGCCATTGGTCTTAAGACAGGGGTTAAAAGGTCCAATCTTCAAAGTTAGATGTTTTAGTGGTCGAGGTCTGTCGTAGATGCCCAGTAGAGTTTCAGTGTGACACCTTTCTCTAGGTAAATTTCGGGGATGAAATTTCTTGTAGGAGTGTAGAATTATAATACCCTGAATTTTGGGTCAACCCTGAATTTTGGGTTAACCCGAAACTCATAAGTCGAGCCCATTAGACTTCCCAAGCTAGTTTAGACCAGTTCAAAAGAGTAGTGTGCCTAATGTTGGGCCAAGAGTTAAGACAAGTGATGGTTTTAAGTAAAGGTAAAAAGGAAATGGACAAAAAGAGCAGTTTACCCATGTATGGTTTTAATAGATAAACCCCCCTTTAACCAATTGTTTTTTACGTAAACCTTACAAACCTTTCCTCTTCATTTATCTCTTCTTCTTCCGTCTTAAGAGTAAGATTTTTTTTAGAGATTTTGATATTTCAAGCCTAGATTGAAGAAACCAGGGTAAGAACCTTAATCTCTTTCTCTCAAGCTTTATTTCAAGCCCCAAATCTTAGATTTTGGGTGAGATTTTAGAAAATGGTTTTGAGAGGTTTAAAGGAGTTAAGTGATTTAAGCCTATTTTTAGTGAATTCAAGTTGATTAGAGTGTTTTAAACTTAGTTTCAAGCTCTAAACAAGTTAGTAACTCTTAGATTTTTGTATGATTAGATAAAGAGGTGAAAGAGAGTTTCAAAGCAAATGGTGAATCCTAGTTGATTCAAGACGAGTCTTAGTAGTCAAGGAGTCCAGGTAACACACTCACAACTCTTTTATACCCTTAGTGGGTCATTAGAAATACAAGATAGCTAGGAAGTTGAGTTTAAGCATGTTTAGCAAGTTTTCATGGTAAATTTCATGTTTGATGTTATTAGCATGTATTAAAGCCTTCTTCATGACCCCTAAGATCAAATAAGACTTAATAACTAATTGGGAAACCTCATGGTAGTAAAATTAGAGGGTTTAAGGAGTGAACTCATGCCTAAATAAGGCATGTTCAAGGTTGAGTATCGATACCGCAAGAAACAGTATCGATACGATTCATGTTTCATGCAGAAAATTAAGAGTTTTGAGGAGCAATATTGATACCACTTCAAGGAGTATTGATAATGAAGGTCTGGTATCTAGACCAGGGTGCTCGATATCGAGATCGGGATTCCAATAGCCATTTTTGGTATCGGTACTCAAGGGTGTATCGATACCCAAGGTCTCAAGTATCGATACTCCCTTAAGAGTATTGATACTTCCCCATTTAGTTTTAAAGAGAGAAAAAAAGTTACATGGGTTGGGCCCTGTAGACTGTAACCGGTGTGAGCCCTAAGGTAAAATCCTATTCAATGATCGGTTTAAATTAAGACAGAAGCTTTAGCCCAAGGTTGATTTTATTAATTGATTTTTTGTCTCTTAATTTCATCATACTCTTTCTTTTATTTGCTTAAATCTTTAATTGTTTTCATTTCCCATCGAACATTTCCCTCATTTTTGTTCTATTTGCACATCACGCCAAAATCAAAATCAAGAGCGAGGAATTCACCAGTCTCTTATTCCCTATGGATCGACCATTATTCTCACTATTTTACTTAATTCATTTCTTTTATTTAAGATTAAAGAACATTTTATTTTGACATCAAAACGATACGCTGTCAGGCAGTGATGAAGATGATTGGACAATTATGCATGAAATTCTTTTGGAAGGGTACGAATACCCCTGTGATCGGTACAAAGGTGAGTTGGAGCAAAATGTGTTCTCTCAAAGCTGAGGGTGGCCTTGGACTAAAGGACCTATCATTAGCTGGGCCTTTTCTTTTCGTCGGACGTGGAGATTGAATGTGGGCATTGTTCACACCTCAATTTATTTTTCATTTTAGGTATGAAGTTATTCCCACTGTTTTTATTTTCTTATTTCTGCAATTCAATGTATCCCCTTCAATTCATATTATAATATTTGTTCCAATTGAATTTTTCTTGTAATTTTGTCTTATAGAAATTTTAAATTTACTAAAATGGGCTCATAATTTTTAAAAATTTAGTTGGAAATGAGTATTTTTCTTTTTCTAATTCCAGCTTGTAATTTATGGTGATAATTTTTCTTACTATTATCAGCCAGTGGGGAATGTATGGAACTCTTTTCGAATTCGAATTTCTTTACGTTAATTGTACTCATGGTGTCCATTCTAAAACTTTATTAGTGCCCAGCCCCATATAAAATATTTTTGTTATTAATACACATGTGCCGACTCTAAAAAATATTTCTATATCTGCCATCGGCATATAATGGAAATTGTATTGGCATGAGGCCTAGCTTATAAATTATTAGCTGAGCTCTTTTTGGTGAAATTTCAGGAATGATGGAAGGTATTAGGGACTGGGTTTTCACTCAAGTTTGGGCTTCTTATAAACCACTGTCCGGCGGCACTGGTTTCTTTCCTGAAGCTCCTTTGTCTCAAGAATTCGAATCAGAAAATCAAGGTACTAGCTTTTCCACTTTCCTACATATATTTGGTAGTACTTTTTGACCCTCTTAGTCGAATTTACTTATTTCACTCACCAAAATTTCGTGAAGTGGAAGTGTGGGTGAGTTTGCAGATAAAATTGTGATTTAATATCTGAATGATGTTCTGATTTCAAGGGGTACTCTTAATTACATGACTAAATGCTCGACCTTGGTACTTGAATGGAGATGCATATTTGAATAAATTAAACCTTGAGAAAAGAAAGCTTGCTTATCTAACTGCAACAAACACAAATGCAACATTATATACTGTGGAGCTGCCTATTTCACGTATTACTTGGCAGTTGGCAGATTAATAGCTAGGAGTTTCTCTGCTTATAATCGAATCTTTATTGTAACTGTTCGGTAGCATTGTCGGTGCCACCTGATATATCTTTCTTTTCTGGTAATCTTCTGGTGAATATCCTGTTGTGGCGGTTCTAGTTTGCTGGCATTTATATCATGCAGATTGTTTGGAAGAGATAATAAACATCGAGTATAGGCATGACCCGCCTTGCCCTTTATGTTCAAGTCCATTACCACTGTTGATGGAAAGCAGTGGTTGCACATTCAAATAGGAGAAATCGACAAAACTAATCTTCAAGAAGCATAGGGAATACTTAAATTAGGGCATATAAATGTAGGTTGTATGTTAGGATGTAAGCTGAAGTTCTTGTAGGTTAGGATATTGACAATGCATTTGTATATGGACCCTTTGTTTTGTAAATTAGTTTAAACTTCCAGGCAATGAAGACCTCCCTTCAACTCGTACTATGTTTTGCTCTTTTGCTAAATGGAGCTGTTTCTCTCAAATGATTCTGCTAAAGATCATATTCAAAATAGAACTAAAGAACTTCAACTACAATCCCTTGAATGGGTGTAAAGATTATTGAATACATAATAATACAACAAAGCATTTTATTCGAATTTCCAACATAAAACTCAAGACACCAAAAAGGAAAAACCCCAACTTTATTTGGATACATGTGAAAGCGTATTTTGTTACACTACTAATTTCTACAATGAAACTGTCTGGGCAGAACATTGTCAAGCACAAAATAGTAGCAGGAAGTGGCGACCGTCTTTGCATAATAGAACCAGGCTCGTCTCCAATAGGGATTTATGTACAGCACAATAGGAACAACCAAAAACATCACTGTGTAAGACGCGATGACAGTCACACGAAACGCCCCCATGTCGATTAAACCATAGTCATCATCATTTTCAGTTGTTGAATTTGGCTTTGGTGGTGGTGATCCAGTATCCGCGCACTTTGCCAATGGTTCACCACAAAGAAAAGGATTTCCCAAGTAGCTGAATACATCGAATGTTCCAAATTGTGCAACTCTTGATGGTATCCTTCCAGATAAGTTGTTGAACGACACATTGAAAGTAGACATGAAAGTTAACCCCACAAGTTGAGAAGGGATATTCCCAGTCAATTTGTTGTAGGAAAGATCTACACTTTCGATTTGCTTCAAATTAGCAAATGTTGGTGGGATTGATCCTGTCAAACTGTTGTGAGATAGATTCAACCCAAGCATCTTGTGAAAGTTTCCAATTTGAGGAGGAATCTCACCAACCAGTTTGTTGCAAGAGAGATCGATTCCAGACACCAGTGGTATGATTCTTCCCTTGTAAGAGTTGTACCCATTTTTCATTAAAAAATCTATTGGTACATTCAAGGAGAATACACTAGATCCAGACATAGTGACAATAACATAGTCTAAATCCCTAAGGGTGGTAAGTTTTAGGCAAGGGGGAATCTGACCAGAAAGATTGTTATGAGAAAGATCAATCACACTTAAGTGTTTCAAGTTGCATAACTCCATTGGGATCATCCCTTGGAAGTTGTTGCTTAACAGAAGATAACTCAAGTTTGAAAGTCCACCAATCCAACTCGGAATACTACCAGTCAATAAGTTCTCTGATATCCAGTGTCACCAAGGTAGAGCTATTACGAAGCTCGTCGGGTAAAGTTCCTCGTAACCTATTTTTAGCCAAATGAACTTGTATGATCTGAGAAGAGTTGAAACAAGATGGTATACTGCCTGAGATATTATTAACCGAGAGGTCAACAAGTACAAGAAAATCAAGTTTACAAAGCTCAACAGGGATTGTGCCTTCTAGATGATTATTGGACAGAATAATTCTCTGTAAAAAGGACATATTTCCTATCCACCTTGGGATCCTACCAGAAAGTGTGTTGTTAACATCTAGTGCTAACAAAAAAGCGCTCTTGGATAATATATCAGGGATCCTTCTAGAGAAGTTGTTTCCATCCAATTTCAACACTCTAAAGTTTGGTAATTTAAGATTTCCGGAGAAAATTTTTCCCTCAAGTTTATTTTTGGATAAGTCCAAGACTCTCAATGAAGTCATATGGCCGAAAGACAAGGGAATGGTACCAATAAAATGAGTTTTTGACATGTTTAGATACTCCAACCATGGTAGTTTCTCTCCAATTTCTGGTGGGATGCTGCCATTGAAGAAATTGTCGGAGATGTCTAAATATGACAAATGTACATGTGAAGCTAATGGTAGCTCAAGTGGTCCCGACAGAGAGCTATTGGAAAGAACTAGCTTCTCTAGTTTTGTGTTGTTGTCCAACAACCAATTTGGGAATTGATTTCCTTTGAAGAAGATATTAGAGAGATCAAGAGACCGCAAATCTTGTTTATGATAGAGAAATTCAGGAAACGATCCAGCTTCTCCACAACACGACAAACTAATATCTTTCAATTGGAACCTTGGGACGGAAGAAAGTATCCGAGTTTCAGCATATATGATATTGTTGCCTGCATTTATGCTCATGAGTTTTGAAAGGTTGGACAAGGGTGCTAATGAGATAGGGATTTCAAAGTGATTGTCGGATAAACTCAATCCTCGGAGAGATGCTAGATTCTTAAGAGCATCTATATTTCCAGAAAATTGATTGGAAGAAAGAAATAATTCTTCAATAGATGTTAAATTCTCAAGAACATGTATATTTTCAGAAAATTGACTGGAAGAGAGATCTATTATTTTAAGAGATGTTAGACCCTCAAGGACAGATATATTCCCAGAAAATTGATTGAAAGAAAGATCCAAGTTGCGAAGGGATGCGAGGTTAGAGAAGCAATCGGGCAGACTACCCTTTAAATTATTAAAATCGAGATCCAACTCTTCAAGATTTGTCATTTCACACAAACCTGTTATATAAAAAAAATAACTAAAGTAAGTGAGATTTAAACAAAAAATACATAAACAATAGTCTAATAAAATAAGTATATCATTTGTTCTTTACTCTGAAAAGAAGTCCTGTAATTTTGAATGAATGCTTATTGGTGTTGCCAGTTAATATATGTCTCGCATTTAATAAATAGAATCGTATAGCTTTGTTTTTATAGCTTATTACAATTATATTATACGAATGTAATGAAATATAATTTCATAGCTTTGTTTTGTGGCCTTTTCTGATATGCTGGGTGGATTGAAAAATGAAATGATAAACACTTAAAGAGGGTAGATAACGTGTAACTACATCGTAACTAAGAAGAGTCAAATGAAATGAGAAGAAGTTACACAAGAATTTCGGGAAAATCATTTTGAATATTACACTTTTTTTTTTCAAATATACAAATTCTTTAATTTTTATATTAAATTTCAAATACTCCTTTCATCTTAGTCTTTTTAACATTAAAAAAAGCATGAAACAAGTTCATGAATATATAAATATAAATCAAATATAGAAAAATCCATGCCTTAATATTAAATTTTGTAGAAATAAAAGATTAATAATTTATATGGATTGATGTAATTATAATTTAATATAAAATGATAAATTTAAATACGAAGCAAATAAAACTAATATTTTCATGTAGAAAAATTTAAAAGAAATAGCAAATTACTTACCTTCAAGGATATTCAAATTTTCATTCATCTCACATCTATCCAAATCCAAATGCTTCAAAGAAATAAATTGTCCAATGCTTCCAAGAGCGTTGGTTTGGAGAAAAGAACCATACACCTCTAACTCTTCCAATTTCGAAAAGTTATGCCATTTATCTATTCACCAATTTAAAGGTAATGAATAAAAATATGTGAAAATAGGACAAAGTGAGAAAAAAAAGTGTTATATTTACAAACTTACTTTGGGAAGTCATTATGGCTCTTTCAATATTAAATCTTCCCAAATCAGCAGTCTTTAACGAAGGGAACAAGAGAAGTGATTGTAGTGGAAGGCTACAATGGTTACCTGTTCACATGAATTATGAATCAATGCATTTGTGTTTGTTTATATAGTTAATTGGATCATATAATTAAATTAGTTAGTAATTTGTTCTTTTAAGTCTCTCAGTATAAAAATTCTTTTCGACGGTAAATAAGTAAAACCATAAATCATTTAAATAAATAAATAAAACTTTTTATCTATGTCCGTTGCTTATGTAAAATACTATCATTAATTAAATCAAACCAATAACAATCACACCGTTAAATGGATCAATCCTATTGATTTTATTTCAGCAATACCTGTGGCTGTGTCATCGTAATAGCAAGATAATGACAGTTGTTCCAAGTGTGTCAAGGCAGTTAACTCTGTTGGGAATCACAAATATAATTACTTGAAATTAAATAAAACGTTATTTTCTTGACTTCAATTTATGAGAAACTAATACAATAGTGAAGGAAGGGTAATTCAAATTAAATTAGGATAAATTATACAAATGATCTCCCGACTATAAGATACTATTTTATTAAGTCCGTCAACTATTAAAAGTTACAAAATGATCATCTAACTATAAAATATTGATTTGTTGAGTCCATTGACTACAATATTCACCCGATTATTCATTTTCTTCCAAACTCGTCATTTTTCGTTAAAAAATTAACAATATTCTGAGTTGGAACGTTAACATGCTAGTTGTAATATGATAAAATTTGATCTTAGAAGCTCAAAAGATTATCATATCTCGATCATCTTATTAACGTCCAGCTTAGACAACTACCAATTTTTTAATGGAAAATGATGAGTTTAGAACATAATGAATAGTCAGATGACCATTTGTGACTTTTAATAGTCAAGAGGCTTAACAAAACAATAATCTATTGTCAGAAGATTATTTTGTAACTTTTAATAGTCGATGAACTTAATAAAGTAGTACCCTATAGTCGAGGATCATTTGTGTACTTTACCCATTAAATTATTGTGTCATTCATCTATCCATTCAACAAATTAAAACAATAAATTTAAATAAGCTAAACTAAGAAAATAGAAAAGAAAATTTATGACTATTACTCCAGGATGGGTATCATAGTAAAAATCTCGTTACAAGAAGACAACGAGATCAAGATCTTGGTTCAATGCTAAAGTTACAAGTCTAAAATTTTTGAGGTTTCAAGTTTAAATTCTATTCTTTATGTAAAGAAAAGGCAGAATTTTATTGTAGCTTTCCAATCAAGGGGTTATTGAGTTTAAAGTATGTTTAGGCAAGGAATGGAAGAGAAAGGGACAATATCACTGTTCGTGGACAACCAACCGTTGGAGTTACACCGGAAGGGACTATGGTAGATTTTCGATAGACAAGGGGAAGTCAGGAACGTTTTTATAGCTAACAAGAGGAGTAGAAGGGGGACTAGATTCGGATTCGTCAGTACGGGAAGCAGAAATGATGATTCAAGAATGATCCAGAGGCTAAATGGACTGAAGGTATATGGAAGCAGAATAATGGCAACGCTTGCGAGAATCATCAAAAGTCCATTGTGTAGAAAAAGACAGCCATGTAAATTGGTATGAAGACCCAAACATGTGGAGTTGACAAAAAGTTCAAAAGCAAAGGAAGAGACAGTTCTCATAAGGTCGAGGTGAGAAAGAGCATAGAAGGCCATATTGAAGATGAAGATTTATGGAAGGTCAGAAGATGTTTTAAACCAACAAATGATTTTGATATAACATGAAAATTTTAAATATTTTAAGTTGTTACAATTTACAATTTACGATTTGTTTTATAGCTCAAAACAATTGAAATAAGTTAAAAATCCTTGTCAGTCTTGAGACCAACATTCCAGTCTCGATGTCAATATTCCAGTGTGCAATGTGGTATTGATACCATGGTGTTGGTTTCAATACTAGTGGGTGGGTATCGATATTTTTTGAATGACTATCGATACTAAGGGTTCAATAGCTATTAATTTGACGGTTAGGATGGTCGGTCTCTATACCAATTTCCCGGTATCGATACCAAATGTACAGGTAAGTATTAAATGCTCAAAATTGATGAATCTAACGGCTCTATTCAATCCCCAACAGCTCCAAACTGCTAGAATGATGTTAGAAGACATAAAAGGTATCAAGATTCAAATGGAGAATAAAAAGAAAGTTAATTGCAAGATCAAACCGACATCAGTCGAGGTTTAGAGCCAAAATTACCATATTCTTTGTAATACACTTGTGAATTTCTTGTTTATTCTTGCTCAGGTGTAATTTAGGTGTGTATTTAATATGTTACAAACTACTTTGCCTTTGTGAGGTTTTCTTTTGTTTGCTAAATTTGTAATTCCTCTTATGGAGAATGTGTAAACAAGATTTTGGGTTATGAACCTTGTGTGTCATTGTAAGCCTACACCTTGTCCTCAAAGGTTAGCAAATCTAGTGGATTTGAGAAATATTTAGTGTGGATGTTAAGATAGTGGATGTAGACTTGGTTTAGAAGTCGAACCACTCTAAATTCTTTGTGCAAAATTTTATTTTTCGATTGCTTCCACTGTAATATTTTCAAAGGCTAATTCACCCCTCTTGATGGTTTTCGATTATTCATAAGAGCTAACAAGATGTCTGATCAGATAATCGGCTACAATAACCAACATCAATAGTATAGAGGAAAGACTCAATGAATGGGGTTTAGGGGACATCAAAGTGCATAGGCTAGGTGATATACCTTCTCACTATCAAGGATTAAGACCTCTTTTTATTACTAGAGGACCTTCTATGGTCATACCTTAAAGAAATATTTACAGAGGAAAGATTATGATCAGAAGAGCTTCAACCGGTGAAACAGTCGACCTTGTTGGAAGTAATCGGATTGCTCATTCATTGCTGGAATGGCATAACCTTGACAAGGATAGCAGAGTTACGGGGTAAACTCGAACTGTTTAGTGAGAATCTAGATCATCAACTAGATTGCGAAAAGGTCTCGTTACTGATGTGTTGACTAATCAAGAGTCATGAATAGAGGAGGTAGTCGATATAATTGTAAGAAGAATGAAATATAGGGTCAGCGTGGTAGAACAAGGCTTTCGTGATAATTTGATTATTCAGAAGATTGTTGAAGGAGCACTGGAAACAAAAGAATTTGTTTCTCCTCAAATTCCACATGATGATTTCTCTAGGGAGTCTCAGGTGAACTCGATGCCAGTGCAATGCGAAGATATTGGTTTATCCCTTAAAATGATGGACAATACGGATGTTAATTATGGTGAAGGCGATTTTCAAGACTGCGAGAAATAAAACAGGATCCATATCGATGGAAAGACTTCGGACCTTAAATCAGATAGTCACCGTCGAACTTAAGAGACAATCTTATTGGTTGTGATGAAGAAATTAACTTAGTGAGCGGGAGTAAGCTAGACAATAATCATGAGGTGTCCATGGCATTGGAGGGTATAAGAACACATGGGGATAAAGATTTAGTGGGACCTATTCAAGTGGAAACTTATTTCGCTTTAGTGTCCAAGAAAAGAAATAACAGGGAGAGTGCTGAGGTTGTAACCGAACCAGTAGAAGACAAAACGTTGTTGGAAAAGGGATAATTCTAATGAAGACTTAGTGGATGTAACGGTACTGACAGATCCATTACTTAAAAACCCATCTTCAGGAAGGGCCTTGGAAGATCTGAAATCGATGGGTTTTCTGTTAGATGACTTAATAAAAGCATGTGCTCAATAGAAGCAGTTACTGGGCCGGGTTCAGACAGTTGTCCAAGTCAGCCCAACTAAGGTGTCTAACGATGGTACATGTTTGAAAAAGGGAGAACCCAACGATTACAGAAGAAAACTAATTCTATGCAGAAAGCGGTTGTCGAGGATTTAGAACAAAGGACATTGACAAAATCTATGGAAAAAGCTACATCTTAGAGTTACCGAGCTTCAGACCATAAATAAAAAATCAAGAAAAATTAGGCCCGCTTCACTCCAGAATAACCAAAGAGCTTATCTTAAACATTCTCGAGTTAAAGATTTAGAGCATGGGGAGCAAGAAGGTAACTCAATCTCGGGCTCAGATCTTCAGGCAAGATGGTTGAAAAGTTTAAAGGAAGCAAAAGTGGTTATCTCACTGGGCAACGAATTGGGCATCAGATTTAGGGGAACAAACAGGTAATGGTTGAGGAGATTGCTACCCTTGAGTTGACGAACCAAAATAATCCCGTTCAAGAATCGAATGCTAGCTGTCAAGAAGAGATATGAGAGTTGCATCTTTGGAATATTAGAGGACTGGGGTCAGATGTCAAAATTTCAGTGGTGAGGAAATTTACTAGTAAGCAAAGGTGGGATTGCTATTTTTACAAGAAACGAAGGTGGAAACGCTGGATGAAGGTATGGTAAGCAGATTGTGGTATGATGATGAATTTGAGTGTTCGATTTCAAATGCTACAGGAAGATCCGGAGGCTTAATCTCGATTTGGGATAAGAGCAAATTTATTAAGGAAAAATGCCAGATTAATTCGAGGTATATTCTCCTTGCTGATAGGTGGGTAGAGGAGAGTTTGATATAGTCTGTATAAACATTTATGTGCCTTGTGACACTCAATCTCAACTAGCCTTACGAGAGGAGTCATTATTGTTGAAAATATGTTGAAATCAAACTTGGGTGGAGACAAGGGACTTCAATGCGATGCTTTACTGAATAGTTTGGGTTGTGTGTTAATGCAAGAGGGTCAAGTGGTTGCATTGTATATATGTCCTGACAACTTAAATCGCAAGAACATAATTATCCCACTCATGACTTAGAACTTTTAAAGATTTGAAGGCATTACCTCTTCGGAGAAAAATGTTACATCTTTACTGACTACAAGAGTTTAAAGTATTTACTCATGTCAAATGAGTTAAATTTAAGGCAGTGACATTGGGTGAAGTTGATTAAGTATTATGATTGTGTGATCGATTACAACCTGGGTAAAGAGAATGTGGTGGTTGACGCTCTGAGTCAAATCACAATGTCCGATCTCAGAGCCTTGCTTGCACGTTTGAGTTTGACTTTCGATGGTGGATTATTAGTGGAGTTGCAGGTTGAACCCGATTTAGTTGAGGAAACGAGGGAGCATCAAAGTACTAGTGACCTCTTGATTGCTAGGTCTAGACAAGCTCGTCGAGGTGAGGTGCCAGGTTTTGAGATGAATAATAGTGATGTATTATATTTTTAGGGTCATTTGTGTGTTCCGTCGAGCAATGAGTTGCGAACCAAGATCCTTAGCGAGGCGTATTGTAGTCTGTTTTCAGTTCATCCTGGAGGAAACAAAAATGTATCAAGACCTTCATCAGTTCTATTGGTGGCCAGGTATGAAAAGAGAAAGATATGAGTTCGTGTCTAGGTGCTTGGCATGTCAACAAGTAAAATCAGAACATCAAGTTCCATCGGGGTTGCTTCAGCCCATTCAGATTCTGCAATGGAAGTGGGATAAGGTGACTATGGACTTTTTGACGAGGTTGTCGATGATGCGAAAAAAGTATGAAGTAATTGGGTAGTAGTCCATAGATTAACCAAGTATGCCCATTTTATGTCGGTTCACATAGATTTCACCCTAGAGAGGTTAATTAGACTGGACATTCAAGAGATAGTGAGATTACGTAGAGTATCGACGTCGATTATCTACGACCGAGATTTGAGTTTCACATCGAGGTTTTGAAAAGCACTTAATGAGGCCTTGTGTACCTGACTACATTTTAGTACTGCCTTTCACTCGTAGACTGACGACCAATCCGAGCGTATGATTCAGATTTTAAAGGACATGCTTAGATGTTGCGTGTTAAACCTTGAGGGTAGTTGAGGGAATCACCTTTTGTTAGTCGAGTTTGCATACAACAACTACCAGTCAAGTATTCAGATGACTCCCTATGAAGTATTGTATGGAAGGAAATGTAGGACGCCTTTATGTTGGACAAAGCTTAGCGAGAGACATTTGATTAGCCCCAATCTAATCAAGGAAGCTGAAGAGAAAATTTGATTGATTTAGAGTAATTTAAAAGAAGCTCTTGACCGGAAAATATTCTACGCAAACTTGAAGCGTAAGGACATAAGATTCGAATTGGGCGACAAGGCATTCCTAAAGGTATCACCTTAGAAGAGAGTGTTTAGGTTTGGGTGCAAAGAAAAGCTAACACCACGTTTCATTGGGCCTTATGAGATCATCGAGAGAGTCACGCCTGTAGCCTACCGACTAGCCTTGCCGCCAGAGATGGAGCGCATTCACAACGTGTTCCATGTGTCGATGCTTATGAGGTATCATTCTGACCCTTCCCATGTAGCAAATTGAAGTAAGTCAAGATATGGCCTATGAAGAGGAACTGATAAGGATTCTGGATCGAGAGGTCAAGGAATTGAGAAACAAGCAGATTCATTTAATGAAGGTCTTATAGAGGAACCATGGGGTCGATGAGGCAACTTGAGAGGCTGAGGAAGGTATGCAACTCTAGTATCTACATATGTTCTACTCAAGTAAATTTCGAGGATGAAATTTCTTCTTAGGAGGGGAGAGTTGTTACGTCTCGTTCTCAAGATACTAGGTTCAGGCAAACCTGATAAAGAGTTAATAAACACATTAGGCTTGTGAGGAGCCCTTGTCCAATTATGGAGTAGTTTGAGCTTGAATTGAGCCTATTATGGTTTAAAAGGGTATTTTTAAAATAACGATATAAGAGGAATGACCAAAACACCAATTGACCCCTTTTGTTTTCGAAGGTTAAAAATATTTAATTGCATGAGGTCACCCACATAGAAAAACTCTCATATCTCTTTTTCAAACACCAATTGACCCCTGTTGTACTGATGCTATGTGACCCAAACACGTTCCAAGTGCTCTAAAGGAGTAGACTAGCTTGGCTAGACACCGATTCTACATGACCTGGACCTAGTCTAGGGTAATGCAAGATGTTGATGCTATGTGACTCAAATCTTACCTAAGGTACCCTTAGCAAACAAGTAGGGGTGTGAGTTCCGTGATGTTGTAGTGACCCCAAGCTACACCATAATGCTTACTTTTGTTGCATGATATATGTACACATGATTCATAATTATGCATGTAGCATGCTCATCTATTGAATGCATGTAGCATAGTTGGGTTATTTTTGTGACACTGAGCTTGTGAGCTCAGCGTATGAAATGTGTTTCTGTGAGCAAGTTCTTAGGTATCAGTTCGAGGAGCTCGTTGCGGATTCCAGGATTTCCAAACTCGATCTTTTATCAGAGTATGTCTCGAGTATTGTTGTGGGCATGTATAATTATGGACCCTATTATCTTATTGAGTTGTAACTCTATTTTGACTTATGTATTTTTGGAGACTATTGTTGGGAGCTTCCCCATATATTGTAATCGTAGTTATAATGACACTTTATTATGTTTTTGAATGTTTAGATTTGTTAAATGTTTTAAAAAAAATGGTTAGTCACTAAGTGGTTCCATGTAATACACTAATCCTCCATATTTCAGGTAAGATCGGATTAGGGTGTTACAATGACGTTGTTTCAAGAGAGGGTAATGCAGGTGGCATTGGAGGTGTACTTAGAAATTTTAAAGGAAATTGTTTGCTTCCTTCTCAAAAGCCGTTGGCCAAGGTCCTCCCATTCTAGCAAAGTTATTAGCAATCAAATTCGGTCTGTCCTTTTTCTCTCTAAGTGCTCATGAGAAGGAACGTTTGATCATAGAAAGCAATTGCAAGGTAGCATTGGATTGGATCTCAGATCCCGATTCTTGTCCTGCACTGTTCTCCCCAATCGTTCGAGAAATCGTCTCAGTTGTACTGGAGCGAGACATAATCTTTCGCCTTGTTCAGAGAAGTGTTAATTCGAGGGCTGATGAACTGGTAAAACAAGGGATTGGTTGACTCCATCGGGGTGCTATTTGCTTGATGACTCTATTATGTTTTACTGTTTTGGTTTGTATGAGACCTATTGTAAGCTTGTTTGGATCACTACCTTTTATCGTTAATAAAATTTATGAGGTATTCCTTTTCTTCTTCAGCTATTCGATGATTTACCTTGTCATAAATCGATGGATATGAAGCAGGTTTTTTAACGAGACCTCCAATTCTTATAAAAAAATAGGTGACCTAAATAAAATTAATCTTTTAGTGAGGAAAATTTGAAAGAAACAACAAATTACGTACCTTCAAGAGTACTCAGGCTTGTATTCATCTTACATTCCCTTAAAGTCAAACTTTTGAGAGAAGTAAATTGTCCGATGCTTCTAAAAAAGTTGGTTTGGAGAAAGGAATCGAACACGTATAACTCCTCCAAGTTTGTAAAATTACAATGCCATTCATCTATTTATTCAACAAATTATAAATAATTAATCAAAATGTGTGAAAATAGGAAAGAGTAGAGAGAAAAATATCAATCCACACTTGCAAGCTTACTTTGGGAAGCCATTTCGGTTCCTTCAATATTAAATCCGCCCAAAGAAACAGTCTTTAACGATGGAAACAAGCCAAGTGATTGTATTGAAAGGTTACCACAATTGCTATCTGTACAAGGGAAACAATACATTTGTGTTTGATTTTATATTTTATTTGGAATATATAATTAAATCTTCACTTTCTAGGCGAAATGTAGGTACATAAAATGCTTTCCTTCGCGTGATTCCATCGTTATACCCATATATTGCAGTAAGTAAGAATGGACTATAGGAATACAACTTAGCAATAGGGTTGTCAATAGATTGGATATTACTAATCTTTCTCTTTGTAATTCTTAGGGTATTGTATGATTTTTTGTGAATCTTGCCACCCCTTTTTTATTCTTGTTTGTTTGTATTGGATTTGAAGCAATTCTGCTTCCATTGGGTAATAATAATCTAATTATCCAAAAATAAATAAAATGCTTTCCCCACCACCAAATTAATTCAATAAGACTGAAGTGTGGGATTAGCAATACCCGTGTCTGTGACTGAAAAAGAGCAAGATAATGACAGGTCCTCCAAGTGGGTCAAAGCATTTAGTTCTGAGGAAAATCATAAATAGATTTGTTTATAATTAAATTAAACTAAACACTATTTTTTTTACTTTAATTTAAGACAAACCTGTAAGATCTATTGATCCTGTGAAATTGGAGCCTGCAACATTTAAAGACTTGAGATTTGAAAGCCTACCAAGAGATGCCAATACACTACTGTTGAACTGGTTGTTACCCAAACGAAGCGTTTTGAGGTTCATCAACCTTAGTTGAGTTTCATTATCTGTAGAACAATAGATTTCATTAACACTCACAATTAACAGTTATAAAACCTTCATTTGACTTTTTTTTATTAATATTAATTATACTTTCATATAATTTAATTAACTTTAATATTGATTACTTGCATTAATTAAATGGAATCAAATATTTTATTAAAAATTAATTATCTAATATAATCTGGTGCAGCAGGTGTGATGACAAAAACTAATAAAATTAAATAGACGTGTATATTACCTTGAGATGGAACAAAATTGGTCACTTTATTTCCCCACATGGACAGCTCCTCTAAGCTGCTCAAAGCGTTCAATTCTGAATAAAAAATGTCGATAACAATAATTATTAATACATTCTATGAATCACAATTATGGTAACTTGTTATGGAATGGGGGGAAAGGTTTTAACAAAAGTAGATTTACCTTTAATATGTATAGCCCCTTCCAATTTGTTCTCGACTATATTCAAAGACTTCAAATTTGGGAGCGTACCAAGGAACGAGAGTATGCTGCTATTGAAGAGATTGTCACTTAAATCGATCACTTCTAGTTTGATCAACATGGGTTCCCCTTTTTCTATAAAGGTCAAGATAATTATTATGCTTATATAAAAATAAATAAAGATCAAAGGTGTTCAAACAATTAATTTAGTCATTAATCAAATCAAATTAGTTAAAACCGAATTAATTAAACTGTTAATCGAACTGAATAAAGTTTGATTAATATGGTCAGTGATTAAATTAATCGGAATTTTTTATAAAATAATAAATAAAATAAGACAGTTAAATAATCAATTTATAGAAGCGAAATAAAAGTTTAAATTAAGATGAGCAACATAGTAATAAAAATGAATTAAAGGCTTGGAATTTGGAAAGAATTAAAGTGAAAGCGAAATAACCTTGGTGGTGAACAAAACCAGCTATGCGGTTTCCGCTCAAATGAAGACTGGTTAATTCCTGAAAGGGAAGAAATAAAGAAACATCGAGATACCATTGTTTCCTCTGTCTTCGATCAATAAGTGCATCTTCCACCATAGAGTCTTCAAAGAAATCGTGTACAAGTTGACCGCCGCCATAACTAAGGAAAAGTTGAATGACTCGTCCAGTGGAGTCATTACATACAACCCTTTCCCATTTGCAACAATCTCCCTCTTCCTCTCCCTCCCCCCACTTGTTTACACCATGGATATAATCACTGAAGTAAGGCTTGAGGTGCATGAGAGCAGCTTTCTCGTGATCCCAGCAGCCATCACAAGGAGACCACCAACATCCTCCTAAGAAGAACACCACCCACAACAGTTTCCAACCCATCGATCCCTTCAAATTCATTTCTAATACTCAGGCGCCACTCAGTAATATGGTTTTGCAGCAGGCTCTCTTGGGCCTTTTATACTAGCACTAGTTGCCTGTGCATGTAAAGTAGGCATCCCTGTTTCCATGAAATGCATTCATAGGACACACTCCCCTCAAGAAAATTCCTACAAATCGTCTTTGTTGAATACATTAAGCAGAAACTTCAAAAAGTCCTAATCATCTTCGATTTTCTTTTGTATATTTATTTATTTTTCTCTTTACGTTTTCATGCCTATTTATGTGTCTGCTCTCTGTTATAATACATCAAAGCAATCTCTTTATTTATGTAATAATATCCTTTTTCAATACATTGTTGGAAATTATAGTAAAACTATATATTTTTTCAATTGATGTTTTACTATAAATAATTCATTAATATTAAAAACTATGTGGACGTCAGTGTCAGTCCAAAACCAAAGGTGCGGGGCTATTGTAGAATTCCATAGCAATATCAATTATTCAACATCAAAGGGGAGAAACTTTGAGCCATTGAATTTGTCTGTAGTTGAAACTTTCCAATCAGCTTTCGCGGAAGTTGAACGCAAGTGCATTATTTCTTAGACCTTCACTTAAGAGTAAATATAATTAATTCTATGATCTCATTTGATTTTTTTTTAAATATAATTGATTGAAAATTAAATATATTTATGTGTTTCAATTTTTTATTAAGTGTGGTTTAATTTTTTAAATAGATTTGATAATATAAAATAAAAATTATATATAAAATAAAATATTAATATTATTTTTTAAAGTTAATTTGTTAGATATTAAAAATGCAAAAGATTAAAAGTATAAAAAGTATTAATAATAGTCAAACATAACAATGAAATCTATTTGGCGTGTTATTTTTTTTTATTAATATTGGGTAAGCACAAGATAATATTTGTTTATATATTACTTTCAATCTTTCGACATTGAACGTTCACACCTCTGACATTTATAATGCTTGAACCTGGATCTTCAATAAATAATAATAATTCATTTACTACGAATGCCACTTGGTTTCTATTATTTGACCTGTTGGTTGTGGTTTAAGGTCTTCTATGAACTCCTTGTCAAATGGGATAAGCTCATTCTCAACAAAACCCCTACTTTGGTTTTGATTTTCTTTTCACTCATAAATGTCGAAACGATGATATATCGTTGAAGTTTCACTTACGCTATCGGATTTTTATAATTATTAATAAGAAGAAAGATGCGAAAATAAAGGGAAAAATCTTATATTATTAACTTAATATAAATTGTCTACAACATGTTCTCTAAATCTATATTTATAGACACAATATATATCATATAGAGCTATAATTCTAACATATATTAAAGTCTTAATAATAAAGTATACTAAAGTCATATTTAATACATAATATTCTAATCATAATAAACATCCTTATAAATAAATATTCACGACACTCTTTCTTGAACGTCTATAAAGCTAATTTACCCCGTTAAAACCTTATTAAGATAAAAACTATGTGGAAAAAATATTAATATAAAAAAGATTATACATATCTTTAATACACACAACATGATATCTCATTAAAAGTCTTACAAGAAAAATTTAGTGGAAAAAATATCGATTAAGAAAAAAAGAGTACAACATGTAATTACTCCATTCATGGCAATATCACAAGATCTCTGAGTATTTACAATTAAATTTTAAATATAATTTTCCAATTTTGACTTATATTGAATTTAGTTTAAAAATATAAATCTATTTTATTTTATTTAAAAATATAAAAATATTAAAAGTTAAATATTATTTTTTAAAGTGAATTAAATATCATTTAAATATTTTATTTCTATTTTTATCATTAATAATATTATGAGATAAATAGATATTAGTATAACTAATCAATAGAATGAAACATTTGGTTTAGTGGTTTGAATACTATATGTGTAATTATACTAATTTTATTAATTGTCATGTCAACAATTTGTTAAATATTCATAGAAAGTGACTTGATTGAAAACATTTAAATAATTAAGTGGCTTTATTAATAAAATTTAGAAATCAATGGTCAAAATGAAAAGAAATAATAATTAAGTGACCATATGTATTATTTAACCTAAAATAAATATAAATTAAAGACCAAATATTTCATTAAACCTTCTTATATTACTATTAAAGAAAATACCTGATATTAATATAGACTACAAAATTTAAACCTAACACAAAATCCAAATTTAAGAACCAAAATGTAAAGGGTAAAATACATAATTTTTCATTGAACTTTACTTTCTCTCCTATTTTACTTACTGTACTTTTAGTTTTACTAATTTACTCACTGAATTTTTGAATTGTTCCTATTTTGATCACCATGAATTATTTTATTATTATTTTCATATGACGTGATAATTTTTTATTATTTAATATAAAAATAATTTAAAATATAAAATGAAAATAGGTGATCGGAATCAATCGGCGACCATCGTAGATGGTGGTTGTTCGATCCCAAATTTAATGGGTCGGTTCACCTCGACCCCTGAATCAAAATATAGTGATTGTTTCACAGAAAAATGTCCCAAAACCCGTGAATCTCAACTAAAATATTTTGGCTTCCTCACTTTTGATCTCCAATTGATGGACTTCGGAGCAAGTACCAATAAAATGGAGGCTAGATTCGGATTCAGGGTGTCGAGGTGAAGTTACCTATGAAATTTGGGACCGAACGGTTACCATCTACTGCAGTCGAGGACGACCAACGATGATATCCGACCATCTTCTATTTTTATTTTTTATTTTATATTATTTTTATATTAAATAATAAAAAGTCACATTGTACAAAAATAATAATAAAATAATTCAGAGTGATCAAAACACAAACAATTCGAAAGTTCAGTGAGTAAATTAGAAAATTGAAAGGATAATGAGTAAAATAGGAGAGAGAGTAAAGTTAATTGAGGAATGTTGTAATTTACCCAAAAAGAAAATTCCAAGCCCAAAAAAATCATTTGGAAAATTAATCAATGTCGTGAAGCACGATAGTCCTGGTCGTACTCGATTACGATGCCCAATCATTAGGTTACTCACAGACTAGCTGTTCAGTAGCATTGTCAGAGCCTCCCGATATATCATCCTGTTGTGGTAGTCTTCTGGTGAACACCATGTTGTGGCAGTTCTAGTTTGCGAGCATTTATATAATGCAGATTGTTTGACATCGAGTATAAGCATGACCCGCCTTGCCCTTTATGTTCAAGTCTATTACCACTGTTGATGAAAAGCATTGGTTGAACGTTCAAATCAGAGAAACCGACAAACACTAATCTTAAATAAGCATAGGCAATACTTAATTAGGGAAAAAATGTAGGTTGTATGTTAGGATGTAAGCTGAAGTTCTTGCAGGTTAGAACATTGACAATGCATTTGTATATGGACCCTTTGTTTTGGAAATTAGTTTAATTTGTTCTAGTGAACTTCCACGCAATGAAGACCTCGCTTCAACTCGTACTATGTATTGCTCATTTGCTAAATGGACCTGTTTCTCTCAAATGATTCTGCTAAAGATCATATTCAAAACGGAATCGAAGAACTTCAACTACAAGCCCTTGAATGGGTGTAAACATTGTTGAATAGCTAATAATACAACAAAGAATTTTATTCGAGTTCCAAACATATATAAAACTCAAGAAATCAAAAAGGAAAAACGCCAAATTTATTTGGATACATGTGAATGCATATTTTGTTTCACTACAAATTTCTACAATGAAACCGTCTCGGGAGAACATTGTCTAGCACAAAATAGTAGTAGAAAGTGGCAGCGGTCATTACATGATAGAACCAAGCTCGTCTCCAATAGGGATTTATGTGTAGCACGACAGGAACAACCAACAATATCATTATGTAAGACGTGATGAAAGTCAAACGAAATGCCCTCATGTATATTAAACCATAGTCTTCATCATTGTTAGTTGTTGAATTTGGCTTTGGTGGTGATGATCCAGTATCTGCGCACTTTGGCAATGGTTCACCAAAAAGAAAAGGATTTCCCAAGTAGTTGAATTCATCGAATGTTCCAAATTGTGCAACTCTTGATGGTGTCCTTCCAGATAAGTTGTTGAGCGACACATTGAAAGTAGACATGAAACTTAACCCCACAAGTTGAGAAGGGATATTTCCACTCAATTTGTTGTAGGAAAGATCCACACTTTCGATTTTCCTGAGATTAGAAAATGATGGTGGGATTGGTCATTTCAAACTATTGTGAGATAGGTTCAACCCAAGTATCTTGTGCAAGTTTCCAATTTGAGGAGGAATCTCACCGACCAGTTTGCTGCAAGAGAGATCGATTCCAAATACCAGTGGTATGATTCTTCCCCTGTAAGAGTTGTACCCATTTTTCATTGAAAAATCTATCGATACATTCAACGAGAATACGCTATAGCCAATCATTTTGGCATTAACATAGTCTAAATCCCCAAGGGTGGTGAATTTTAGGCAAGGGGGAACCTGACCAGAAAGATTTCTACGAGAAAGATCAATCACACTCAAGTGATTCAACTTGCATAACTCCATTGGGATGTTCCCTTGGAAGTTGTTGTTGCTTAACAGAAGATAACTCAAGTTTGAAAGTCCACCAATCCAGCTCGTAATGCTTCCACTCAATAAGTTCTCTCTGATATCCAGTGTCAGCTAGGTAGAACTATTACTAAGCGCATCCGGTAAAGTTCCTCGTAACCTATTTTTAGCGAAATGGATTTGTATTACCCGGGAACGGATGAAACAAGATGGTATACGCCCTGAGATATTATTAACCGAGAGGTCAACAAGTACCGAAAGATCAAGTTGACAAAACTCGATAGGGATTGTGCCTTGAAGATGATTATTGGACAGAGTAATTCTCTGTAAAGAAGACATATTTCCCATCCAACTGGGGATCATACCAGAAAGTGTATTGTTGCTAACATCTAGTGCTATCAAAAGGGGGCTTTTGGACAATAGATCGGGGATCCTTCCGGAGAAGTTATTTCCATCCTATTTTAACACTATTAAGTTTTGTAATTTGAGATTTCCATAGAAAATTTTACCCTCAAATTTATTGTTGGATAAGTCCAAGACTCTTAATGAATTCATATGGCTGAAAGAGGAGGGAATGGTACCAATAAAATGATTTTTTTGACATGTTCAGAAGCATCAATGATGGTAGTTGCTCTCCGATTTCTAGTGAGATGCTGCCATTGAAGAAATTGTTGGAGACATCTAAACATGAAAAATGTATATGTGAAGCTAATTGTAGCTCAAGAGTCCTGAGAGATGGGTATTGGTGAGATATATGGACTCTAATTTTGTCTTGTTGTGCAACAACCAATTTGGGAATTGGTTTCCTTTGAAGAATATATTAGAGAGATGAAAAGAAATCAAGTCATGTTGATGGTAGAGAAATTCAGGAAATGATCCAGCTTCTCCACAACACGACAAACTAATGACTTTCGATTGGAACCTTGGGGCCGGGAGAAGGTATTTGAGTTTCATCATATATTATATTGTTATCCTCAAATAGGCCCTTGAGTTTTGAGAGGTTGAACAAGGGTCCCAATGAGACAGGGATTTGAAAGTTGTTATTTGATAGGCACTAGTCTTGGAAAGATGCTAGACTCTTAAGAGCATCAATATTTCCAGAAAATTGATTGGAAGAGAGATCTAATGTTTCAAGAGATGTTTGACTTTTAAGAGCATCTATATTTATAGAAAGTTGATTGGAATAGATAGATAATGTTTCAAGAGATGTTAGACTCTCAAGGACAGATATATTTCCAGAAAATTGATTGAAAGAAAGATCCATGTTAAGAAGGGATGTGAGGTTAGAGAAGCACTCCGGCAGGCTACTCTTGAAATTATTAAAATTGAGATTCAACTGTTGAAGATTCGTCATTTCACACAAACTTGTTTATCCCATACAAGAAGAAGCAGAAGACTATATGAGTTAGTACTACTCAAACTCAAATTTAAATAGAGTGATGATACTATGTTACAGTGTTGAAGTAAATGACGTACCTTCAAGGATATTCAGGCTTCCATTCATCTCACATTAATACAATTTCAAACGCTTGAGAGAAGTAAATTGTCCAATGCTTCCAAGAATGTTGGTTTGGAGAAAAGAATAACCTACGCATAACTCTTCCAAGTTTGTAAAATCATTACGCCATTCATCTGCCATTCAACAGATCAAAAGCAAATAATATAAATATGTGAAAATAAGAAAGAGTTGGAGAGAAAAATGTTAATCCACATTCGCAAACTTACTTTGGGAAGCCATTATGGTTTCTTCAATATTCAATCCTGACAAATGAACAGTCTTTAAGTGGTTTATCTAAAACTATTGAAAAAGCTCGAACATAAGGCGTATTGGGCTATTAAAATATTGAATTTTGATGCTCAGTTAGCTAGGGAACAGAGATTACTATAACTTAATGAGTTGGAAGAGTTTAGTGCAAAGACATATGAGAATGCAAGGATATACAAGGAAAATACAAAGAAGTGGCATGACCAAAAACTGATGCCACAACATTTTCATGTTGGCCAACAAGTGTTGCATTACAATTCCAGACTTAAACTTTTCCTGGGAAGCTCAAATCTCGATGGTCAGGACCATTTGAGGTGCATTATGTCTATCCCCATGGAGCAGTTGACATCAAGAACATAGATGATGGGATGATCTTCAAAGTCAACGGCTAGCGTCTGAAAATTTACAATGGAGCTCCACCTGTGTGCGACTAATCGATGCTTCACTTGCAATACGCTAAAGTGTGATTGCCTGAAAACCAAGTTTCAATGCAACGACATTGAATTTCGTTGAATGTGCATAAATAATAAGTTTATTCTTCCCTTTTATTTTTAGTTTATCCTGTGAATAATTACATTTTGTTTTGTTTTGTAGGGACCCACCAATACTGCAGTCATACGTTAGAGCATTACCAAGGAGGAAAAAGACAAAGTAATGAAAAAAAGGAAATATATTTTTATTATTTCTTTCTTTACTTTATTTTATTTCCATTTTTTTATTTTTCTTTTCATATCTCATTTATTACTTGTAGTTACTTTTTCACCTACCCATTTACCCCCATCCACTCATTTTCTCTTAACCTTCCACTCACTCCATCTCTCCCATTATTTCTTTTAATTTTTTTCTTCATCTCTTTCATATCTCATTTTTCCTTCAAAGCCGAAGCCACTAAAGCCAAACAAAGTTCTCAACTTTTTTTCATTTCACTCTTAAACCGGCACAAAAATGGTATGAACGAGACCTATGGAGGTCGAAACCTATATTCCTCAACAGTTTATTGACGACGCGGCAAAGCAAAGATTTCAAAACTTCAAAAACCATAATATTTTCTTTAAGTTGGGGTATATTTTCACTGATGAACAATATGGAGGTTTTGGACCAGACGTAATGGATATAGTCGAACCCCACAAGTGGAACAAGTTTGCAAGGCACCCCGGTTCTGTGAATGCATCGTTGGTGAAAGAGTTCAATATTTCTAAACCAGACCAACATGCAGTTTACATTTGAGGTAAATACATTCGATTAACATCGTCTGTCATTAATAGGAATTTTCATTTGCAGGGTGTTGAAGATCAACATGCAAACTTTGAGAAAGACGCCAACAATGCCACATATGATGGAGTCTTAGAGGATTTATGTTTTTAAAACACGACTTAGAACGGCTAACAGACCAGTCGTTACTCTGTAAATCGCGAATGTCTCTAACCACGCCACGCTCAAAGCTTTGGGACCATTTCATGAAGCATAAGCTCATGCCAACTACCCACAACACAACAGTATTTTTCCCCGGTTAATGCTTTTACAATCTATTATGGTCACATGTTCTATTGATGTAGGTAAAATTATTGTTGAGCAAGTGCATGAATGCTTGGGTAATAAAACTAGTGCTTTGGTTTTTCCAAATCTTATTATTGCTTTGTATCGAAAGAAAAAATTTTGTGAGAGTTCTTTTGTTGAAGTTTTTTCTGGTGTTTCAGGTATAACTAGGGCTAGATTGCCATTACTGTTGGGTTTGGAGAACCCAAAGTCTGAGGCAACTATTAATGAAGAGTATGTGGATGATACACTATCCAATGCCGAGGCAAGAATGGTTGCTCTCGAATAAGCTATCCAGAAGACACATACTCATTTGCATGCTTTACATGGTGATATAACAATTTTCTTTGGTTATGTTAAGCATAGTGATGCTGTGGTGGAAGCCATATTTCAAGAAATACTTCCTCACATTGAACGAAATTTCCCGGGGTTCCCCGATGAAATTTTCCAGCATTTAATGTCGAAGCATCTCTTGAGCCTGATAATGTTAACCCTTCTGTTGATGAGCCAATTCCATAATCCCCACAGTCTCCGACTCCAAACTCTCTTGTGATACAAGTTGAAAAAACCCCAGTCTCATTCCTGCACCTAAACCTTCTCATGCTCGTAGAAGTAGACGTCGTACAAAGACCTCGATCGAACGTGTTAATATCGCCCATTACTATTCAACTTCTTCTGATTCCAGTCCTGCACCACTCTACAAGAGGATAAGACGAGGAGCTGCTAGCACCTCCACTGCAACACCACCACCGAAAGAATGAGGTATCTCAATTTGCATTCATTTTGCATTTCATAGCATGTCATTTAGTTTTATTTCTTAATTAGTTCTCTTTAAGCATTGAGGACAATGTGTCCTTTAAGTTTGGGGGAGGTAGTGTTCTTTGCAGAACAATTGCATAATAGTATTAGCATAACAATATGACATAGAATCAGTAAATGGTATGACAGTTAGATGAAATGTTTTGGTGATACCCAATGATGATGAACTTTTAGGCTAGAAATTGAATGTAAATGACTATTGAAAATGAAAAAACTAACTTTGAGGCTTGATGCTTTGTAAATTATTTGCACACGATTTGTATACTCTCTATACTTAAGAAATTTAGGAAATTTTTATGAAGAAACTCTGGTTAGCCTTGGCATTGAAATTTGGTATTGTGCTAAAATGATAAATTAATGAGAACTCCCTTATATCTAAAATTGTGAATAAATACTTCGGCATAGTTGTAGAGGGTCACTCCTATTTGTCGTGGCAGTGCCTGGAACTTTCTTTAGTAAATGGAAGTTATGTGCAAATAAGTGAATGAAAGCATTCACAGGATGACTCTACTTGACTAGCTTGGGGGTGAAAGGTATGCTCTCTTTCACCTAGAGTGTGGGATAATAGGTGTGATGGGCTGACTTTCCTCGTAGAAGCATTATAAAAATATTAAGTAAAAATGGAGTATAAATGTGCTAAATGAATAAGTGATGTTGGAGCAAAACTAGGGAACTTAATTAGAAATTGCTTAAATTTGTTAAGTATAGATTGGATACAATCATGCACACCCACACCCACAAAGAATCTTGACCTAGGGATTAGTATTTGAATTTTTTATATGTCTAGCATGTTGGAGCCTAATTTTTTTAGGGTTGAAATTTGATTTTTGTCTTGACTATCTTGCTATTAGAAATTTCCATGACATTTTGTTTGTGT